GAAGTCCATAAGGCCCACTTTGGAACTTCAGTCACATAGGTCTTCTCAATTTGAAAAAGTGAGAAGGTTGACCTGGTGGAAATGTGAGACCTTTGGATGTGGTGAGCAACAAATATGTTGATCAGAAAAATCTTAACTGGAACTTTAAATCCACTTGTTCATCAACTTGGAAAGCAATTGGTAAGACTAAAAATATTGTTGATTCGGGTTCAAAATGGTTAGTTGGGGATGGGAAACATGTTAATTTTTGGACTGATTGATGGTGGGGAAAAAGCCCTTTAGTGCAGCATATTGATCATCCTGAGCTTCTAAATCTCAACAAAAAGGTGGTTGATTTCATTGACACTAGTGGCAACTGGAACTTCCAGGAGGCAGGTATGTTTCTTCCTCACTCTATTATGCTAGAGATTTTACAGTCTTCAAGTCCATTACCTGCTGAGTTTCAGGATACAATTTGTTGGGGTCTCTCGAGTAATGGTAAGTTCTCTACTAAGGTTGCTTTTGATCTTATTTCCCATGCTAGTTCGAGTGGCCCCTCTTCTCTTCATTGGAACTGGATCTGGGATTTGAAGCTCCCACATAAGGTTAACTAGTTCTTGTAGCTTGTCCAACATGATAGACTTCTCACTAACAACCTTAGAGCATCAAGGAACATGGCTAGGGAAGCCTCGTGTGCTAGATGTCATCACCCAGTTGAATCATCCTTGCATGTAATTGTAGATTGCCCAAAAACCCAGAGAGTGTGGGATTTTTTTAACCTGTCCCAAGGTGTGGATTCTAATCAACTTGGGGGTCTTCAAAAGTGGATGCTTTTGAATTTTAAACTAAGGAAGAACTAGGACTGGAAAGGTATTATCTGGCCCATCATGTGTGCTTGTGTCTCATGGTGCATATGGAAGGATAGGAATAGGGTGCGTATTGCTGGTATTAAATCTTTACCTAGACTTGTGGCTAGGGAAGCATGGCTCCTAGCCGTGGACACTGTTAAGGCTTTTTCAAAAAATCTGTATTGAGCCTACTAATTGATCTCCTTGTCTGATTGCTTGGTCTTTCCCCTATGCAGGCTGGAACAAGTTGAACATTGATGGATGCTCAAAAAGAAATCCTGGACTTGCTAGTGTTGGTGGAGTCATTAGAAATGACTAAGGAAAATGGATTATTGGATTCTATGGAAAAATGTAGGAGACCTCAAGCTTGCAGGCTGAATTATTATGGGCATTACTCAAAGGCCTGGAGCTTGTGCAAAAGAGAAGTATCACCCAAATCATTGTAGAAACTGACTCTGTCGAAGTTGCTAAACTACTGGCCAAGGACCCAGAGGCCACGCACCCCAACAGGATTGTTATCTTGCAATGTAGAAGGATTTTGGAGTCTAAGCACCTACCAATAATCTACACCCTTAGAGAAGGCAACCTGTGTGCTGACTTTTTGGCCAACCTTGGCGTCAAACAGTAGGAACTTTTTGTTGAGCTGGAAAATNATCAACGTGTTTGCGTGCACGCCAAGTAATTCCTAGTCTTCTGAAAAAATTAAATGTACTAGAAGTTCAAGAAGCTAGATGTAGATCAAAAGAGAAGTGGTTGTGATTTGTCATGTGTGTTTGCTTGGTTATCGTATGACTATTGTTGAAGTCAAACATGAAGGGTGTTACAGCAGATAAATATGCTAAGAGTGATTAATTAAAGTAACAGTAGGCATTTTGTGTATTGGGCATCTGAATGCTTGTATTTGGGCAGTTGAATTATGACTTGAATGTTTACCTTTGTAATGTGAATGTTATGCTTTAATGTATTTCGGCATAAGGCTTTTGGTTATTTGTAATGTGATTGTTTTGCCTTGATACATTAGTCGATCAGTTTAACTTCTACAAAAGAAAAGAGGAAGTCCATAAGGCCCACTTTGGAACTTCAGTCACATAGGTCTTCTCAATTTGAAAAAGTGAGAAGGTTGACCTGGTGGAAATGTGAGACCTTTGGATGTGGTGAGCAACAAATATGTTGATCAGAAAAATCTTAACTGGAACTTTAAATCCACTTGTTCATCAACTTGGAAAGCAATTGGTAAGACTAAAAATATTGTTGATTCGGGTTCAAAATGGTTAGTTGGGGATGGGAAACATGTTAATTTTTGGACTGATTGATGGTGGGGAAAAAGCCCTTTAGTGCAGCATATTGATCATCCTGAGCTTCTAAATCTCAACAAAAAGGTGGTTGATTTCATTGACACTAGTGGCAACTGGAACTTCCAGGAGGCAGGTATGTTTCTTCCTCACTCTATTTTGCTAGAGATTTTACAGTCTTCAAGTCCATTATCTGCTGAGTTTCAGGATACAATTTGTTGGGGTCTCTCAAGTAATGGTAAGTTCTCTACTAAGGTTGCTTTTGATCTTATTTCCCATGCTAGTTCGAGTGGCCCCTCTTCTCTTCATTGGAACTGGATATGGGATTTGAAGCTCCCACATAAGGTTAACTAGTTCTTGTGGCTTGTCCAACATGATAGACTTCTCACTAACAACCTTAGAGCATCCAGGAACATGGCTAGGGAAGCCTCTTGTGCTAGATGTCATCACCCAGTTGAATCATCCTTGCATGTAATTGTAGATTGCCCAAAAACCCAGAGAGTGTGGGATTTTTTTAACCTGTCCCAAGGTGTGGATTCTAATCAACTTGGGGGTCTTCAAAAGTGGATGCTTTTGAATTTTAAACTAAGGAAGAACTAGGACTGGAAAGGTATTATCTGGCCCATCATGTGTGCTTGTGTCTCATGGTGCATATGGAAGGATAGGAATAGGGTGTGTATTGCTGGTATTAAATCTTTACCTAGACTTGTGGCTAGGGAAGCATGGCTCCTAGCCGTGGACACTGTTAAGGCTTTTTCAAAAAATCTGTATTGAGCCTACTAATTGATCTCCTTGTCTGATTGCTTGGTCTTTCCCCTATGCAGGCTGGAACAAGTTGAACATTGATGGATGCTCAAAAAGAAATCCTGGACTTGCTAGTGTTGATGGAGTCATTAGAAATGACTAAGGAAAATGGATTATTGGATTCTATGGAAAAATGTAGGAGACCTCAAGCTTGCAGGCTGAATTATTATGGGCATTACTCAAAGGCCTGGAGCTTGTGCAAAAGAGAAGTATCACCCAAATCATTGTAGAAACTGACTCTGTCGAAGTTGCTAAACTACTGGCCAAGGACCCAGAGGCCACGCACCCCAACAGGATTGTTATCTTGCAATGTAGAAGGATTTTGGAGTCTAAGCACCTACCAATAATCTACACCCTTAGAGAAGGCAACCTGTGTGCTGACTTTTTGGCCAACCTTGGCGTCAAACAGTAGGAACTTTTTGTTGAGCTGGAAAATCCTCCTCCCCTTTTGGCTAATCTTTTGTTAGCAGATATGTCTAATGTAGTCTTTGCTAGGAATTCTGTTTAATTTTTCGATGCACCCAAAAAAAAATATACCATTCCTTTGTTGTCACGTGATTAGAAGATGGTGTGGATCTCATGATTTTTTGATGGAATGTAGACGGAAGGGTCAGATTGGCTCAATTGAAAAAAATTATAGTTTAGTAGTTTAATTGACACATATAAAATAGTTGGAGGGCCAACAGTGTAATTTACCCAAACAAAAAAAAAAAAACTTTCTCGAGCCTTTTAAACCCCCCCAAACCTTGCCTCGTAGAACAAGACTNGTGTGCTAGATGTCATCACCCAGTTGAATCATCCTTGCATGTAATTGTAGATTGCCCAAAAACCCAGAGAGTGTGGGATTTTTTTAACCTGTCCCAAGGTGTGGATTCTAATCAACTTGGGGGTCTTCAAAAGTGGATGCTTTTGAATTTTAAACTAAGGAAGAACTAGGACTGGAAAGGTATTATCTGGCCCATCATGTGTGCTTGTGTCTCATGGTGCATATGGAAGGATAGGAATAGGGTGCGTATTGCTGGTATTAAATCTTTACCTAGACTTGTGGCTAGGGAAGCATGGCTCCTAGCCGTGGACACTGTTAAGGCTTTTTCAAAAAATCTGTATTGAGCCTACTAATTGATCTCCTTGTCTGATTGCTTGGTCTTTCCCCTATGCAGGCTGGAACAAGTTGAACATTGATGGATGCTCAAAAAGAAATCCTGGACTTGCTGGTGTTGATGGAGTCATTAGAAATGACTAAGGAAAATGGATTATTGGATTCTATGGGAAAATGGAGGAGACCTCAAGCTTGCAGGCTAAATTATTATGGGCATTACTCAAAGGCCTGGAGCTTGTGCAAAAGAGAAGTATCACCCAGATCATTGTAGAAACTGACTCTGTCGAAGTTGCTAAACTGCTGGCCAAGGACCCAGAGGCCACGCACCCCAACAGGATTGTTATCTTGCAATGTAGAAGGATTATGGAGTCTAAGCACCTACCAATAATCTACACCCTTAGAGAAGGCAACCTGTGTGCTGACTTTTTGGCCAACCTTGGTGTCAAACAATAGGAACTTTTTGTTGAGCTGGAAAACCCTCCTCCCCTTTTGGCTAATCTTTTGTTAGCAGATATGTCTAATGTAGTCTTTGCTAGGAATTCTGTTTAATTTTTCGATGCACCCAAAAAAAAATATACCATTCCTTTGTTGTCACGTGATTAGAAGATGGTGTGGATCTCATGATTTTTTGATGGAATGTAGACGGAAGGGTCAGATTGGCTCAATTGAAAAAAATTATAGTTTAGTAGTTTAATTGACACATATAAAATAGTTGGAGGGCCAACAGTGTAATTTACCCAAACAAAAAAAAAAAAACTTTCTCGAGCCTTTTAAACCCCCCCAAACCTTGCCTCGTAGAACAAGACTCAACACACCCTCTCTCTAGACTCGTCTCTCTCTTTCCCTCCCGACGAGCATCANAGTTTAGTAGTTTAATTGACACATATAAAATAGTTGGAGGGCCAACAGTGTAATTTACCCAAACAAAAAAAAAAAAACTTTCTCGAGCCTTTTAAACCCCCCCAAACCTTGTCTCGTAGAACAAGACTCAACACACCCTCTCTCTAGACCCGTCTCTCTCTTTCTCTCCCGACGAGCATCGACTGTTTGGTAAGCATTTTTGCTCAATTCGACTGTTTGAGTAACTTTATTGTGATATGGTGTTGTGTTAGGTTTTATTTGCACATTATGACTTTTTTATAATTTAGAATGGATGTTTTGCGCTTAATCGATGGATGAGTAGTGATTTTTTGGGCCATTTTAACCTACATACTGTACGGTTTTTGGAATATATGGCGTTTGCGTGTCTCTGTACTGTTGGTATAAAANGTGTTAGGTTTTATTTGCACATTATGACTTTTTTATAATTTAGAATGGATGTTTTGCGCTTAATCGATGGATGAGTTGTGATTTTTTGGGACATTTTAACCTACATACTGTACGGTTTTTGGAATATATGGCGTTTGCGTGTCTCTGTACTGTTGGTATAAAATTTACCTCAAGCTGTGGTATATGGTATTTGGTATGTAGCTCTGTAGGGTTTGTGTCAGAGCATGAGTGAAACTTTGATTAGAGTAGCCTTGTATTTTTAAGATGATTCGAGCATTTATTGTCGAGAATTCAGTGCTGAGAAAGAGATGAGATAGTTTTCACCTTCACTTGGCATTTAGTATTGCCGTGGAAATTCAATATGTTGTGCATATACTATAAACATGTGAATATATTGGTGCACATTGACCAGATTTTAGTTTTGTCTCCACCTTCTTTTGTTGTTTTCTCTTCTTCTTGTCTGAAATTGGTGGAGTTTCGGGTTGCTATTGATGTGTAAAACATTCTTAAAACTATGTTTTTGTAATTAATGAGCGGACAGTAGCAGAATAAGAAAGAAAGATCCATTTCCTTTTTGGATATGATATAATGCCCTAGGTAGTACGATCTCTGGATTGTTGCATGTTTAGTTAAAATGGCTGAAGTCACTGTGAGTCATTNTTTTTGTAATTAATGAGCGGACAGTAGCAGAATAAGAAAGAAAGATCCATTTCCTTTGTGGATATGATATAATGCCCTAGGTAGTACGATCTCTGGATTGTTGCATGTTTAGTTAAAATGGCTGAAGTCACTGTGAGTCATTTTTGTTGCCCAATGAAGGTCTATGGCCTGAGAACAGAGCAACAAGCTCGGAATGGGTTTTCCTTCATGTTAAATGTTATGGAGGCTAGCAAAATATATTCTTATTTACTTCTTTTTTTCTGTGTACTAATAATGGCACTGATCACGCCCTTTTTTTAAGGAATAAAGCTATGTGAAAACTTTTCTACTTCTTTTTTCAGCTTTGGTTTTTCTTATTAATGCTTTAGCGCATAATAGGTTCATGGAAGTCAATTTAGAAGTTTTGATATGACCAAAGACCAAAGTATTTGATTACAATGAAGACCGACTAGTTTGAAACGCTTTATCATTTACTCAAGTGATTATCCTTTAGATGAGATGTATTCAACAATTGTTTTGTTTATAGAAAACTACTAGAAGAAACCCCACCATGGCAACAAGGATTGCTGTGAGGTATGTACCACGTAGGCTCTGGAGCAGTGGCAAAATACTCAGTGAGGAGGAAAAAGCTGCTGAAAATGTCTACATTAAGGTAATTCTGGTTGCTGCTGATATCAGATTTTGTCTATTGTTTTGTATTTTTATTGTACTAGATTTCTGTCACTTTTGAGCTTTCCTTTCTAGTTGTTTTATGTTGATTTCAATGGTCTTTGAAAAATGTACAAGACCTGGGCTGACAGATAGCATTATGTATTCATGCATGTGTGCATGTGCATGATCAGTGAACATAGGATTTTTTAGTGTTTATATTATACCATGCAGTTTCTGCTTTGTTGGAGTACCTTCTAAATGAAATCATCATTTCTGCTTATTGAATGGTATGACTGTCTAATTCACCACATGATTCTTGGTCGTCCGAAATCCTTTCTGATAGAGGGGAGGAGATTATTAAAACTTAAGATTCCCATGTATGTTTGATTTTGAATAGTTGCTAATGTTGGGAGATGCTATGTCTGCCTGGTTTCTGATGTTATGTTTCCCATTGATTTTTCATGGGTTTCCCTTTGAGCATTTCGACTGACTTGTGCTTCCCAGGCTTTGTCGACAAGTTGCAGCAACTAAGTTAAATATTTGGTTGAATGGCATAAGCAACTCATCCTGTATCCCTAACCTTTTTCCCTCAAAGAAAAAGACCAGGAAGTTAAGGTTTTCACTTGTTGAGGGGAGGATGGAGAGTGGCAGAAGGAACCGTGGAGAACTTTCCGAGATCGTTGTATTTTAAAATTTTATCAATATTATACTGTAGCATCATACTTTGTGTGAATGGAGAGTGACAATTACTTCGAGTATGAATGTGAAATGCTGCTTCATGTACTTTGAGGAATCAACATTATATATTTCACTAAGTTCAAAACAGACTAATGAGTGAATCATTGAATTCTTCAATGATCTCTCTCTCTCTCCCCTTTTTGCCCTGTTGTGGTTGACTGGTTGTGTGCTTGTGCGCTTGTGCATGGGTTTTTGTTTGGGGGTTTGGATTTACACGTGTGAAACATTGTGGACTGTTCTACTACTGAACTTTGTGTCAATGTGCCTGTTTATGGCATTTTGTGACTGTTGAAACTTTGTGTTACTGCAGAAAACTGAGCAAGAGAAACTGGAGAAGCTCGCACGCAAGGTTTGATCACATCACATTTCTTCATGCATTTGTTGTTTAGGGGTAGGTGTTTGTGTGGGGTTGTGGGAGGGCATTTTCTTGGTTAACTTACAAGAAATTCGCTGAAAACTATAACCTAAGACATATAATTCATCCTCAAATCACAAAAGCCNTAGGTGTTTGTGTGGGGTTGTGGGAGGGCATTTTCTTGGTTAACTTACAAGAAATTCACTGAAAACTATAACCTAAGACATATAATTCATCCTCAAATCACAAAAGCCTAGTGATTGAAGCATTTGCCAAACTATTGCCATATTGGGTACATTATTTCTTTTATCTCCTTTTTGAATCAAGATAGTGTATGTCGTCAATAGCTTCCAATCACTCCCGCACCCTACAAAAAATGAACTGCACCTTCTTTAGGCAAACAGATACTACGACTAGTCAGAATGGAGTAGTTTTTTTTTTTCATATCCTTTGCCGCATTATCTCCTGTGAATAAAGTAATAATAAAATTGTTTCTTTGGATTTAGGAAAATAACATAAATTAGAATGAGAAACAATTAAACATGGACGTCCCCTTTCTTTTTGTGTTGTACTTGGCCCAGTTTCAAGTTGAGTGGATGAAACTTAAAACATGGTGGCCTTCGATTGAATTATGAGTTTGTTAGATTGAGTAACCGTCATTGGAGATATGAAACTAATGATATTGCCTTTTTTTTTTTGTAATGTGAAAATGAAGATGTACACTGCACATGCACGTGTTTGGCTGATTGTAGTCAGCATAAAATTTGGAAAAAAAGTGAGTGCGAAAGGATTTCTAAAGGCCAGTTCATGATTTGGTGAATTTTATATTGTAATTTCAACTTGATTGGTTGTGTGCAAATAAAAGCAACATGGGTGCTAGAAGAAACAAAAAAATGGTGTCTTAACTGGCCCTAAAAAGTACTAGGCTCTGGTTTCTGTTATGTGTCTAAATATCTGTTCAACTTACAAGAGTTCTCAAGTTGTCTCTACCAGATAATGTTCTGTATTTCCATGTTAGTTTGTGTTATTCTGGTTTTAGAATTATTGAACATTCTATTCAATGTTTAGCCTTTTATATTTTCATTTTTTTTTTGGTCTCTTGATCTTTGAGGCATGCTTGATGGTTGAATGTTTTCAGGGCCCTAAACCAGAAGAAAAACCAGCAACAAGCTCGGGCGGTTCAGGGTCTGTGTCTGATACTAAACCAAGTGGTCACACCTCCTCAACAACTGGAGTATCAACTGATAAGTATCGAAACTATGCAGTTGTAGCTGGTGTCGTAACTGGTCTTGGTGCTCTCGGATGGTACCTTAAATCAAATAAAACGAAACCGGAAGAGGTTCAGGACTGAGGTTGATTTGCTTGGTTAAGAAACCGTGGAATCAGTGATTGTTTCAGACTTCTGGCTTTCTTTCGGTAATTAGGTGAAAAATAAAAAAACTCTAATGTCAGTACTGTATTTCATCATATTACTTGATATGGGTTTTGTCCATCTTGGCTGGAAATACGAATGGTATCCATATTGGCTGGATATGCAAGAAACTTATACGTCACTCACTGGGAGTTTAACTGGGTTTTGCTTTTAGTCAGAATATAACTGAGTTTGATGGAGGAAATTTCTGTGGTGTTGCTAATTTTGTTGATGGCTTTCCTTCTGCCTGGTTTTATCTTTAGATATTAATTGACCCTTTTGGTGTAAAAAAAACCCCAATTTTGTTAAGTATTCTGTTTATTTGACGACTTTTATGGCAGGATTACAGGAATGATTCATCATTGTGTACGGGTGAAGAGATCAAGCTCACTGAGGGATGGGAATTAACCAGTTTTTTTGTAATATGAAGCAAGTTAACTTTTCATCCCTCATGAACTTGAAGAGAAACACTTTCCGGAAAAAGGGAAAATATATGCGAGAGAATCGGAAAATGCTATACATTTCAAAAAGAACTTAAAAATTATAACTTAAATGCATATTATTTTTTAGATGAGTGTTGAATGATACATTTCATTGAAAAAATTAATAAAATTCACTCATTTAATAGATAATATATATTTGAATTATAATTTTTTAAATTTTATTTAAGTTGTGTAGCACTGGGTGTAGTGATGTTATTACAGGTATGCTCCCCTTTTTTAAACTTTGAAAAGAATGGAGGAATGGAGCTAATGGGACATTTTTAGATACTCCCAGATGATGACACATGTTCTCGACGTCAATGCAGACCCTCGCTGTGATATTGACACGTCTTCGTCGGTTTCTAACTCCCTTGCGTTGAGGATGTTATTCACAGGGATCAAGAATCACCAACCCACCATAGACTGACACGTATTCCTCGACAGTTAGGGTATATCGGTCTTAAATCATGCTAGTCTCTCGGCACCGATGTGTATCTATCCGCATGGGCATTTTCTGCTCTTGCAGGGGTTATTGATGGACAGATCACTAGCTTAGATATAGACTAACCTAGCCATTATGACCTCGTTTTACTCAAATGGTGTCAAGAGGCACAAGAAAGCAGAAGGCTCAATCAAAGGGAAATGGACACGTGACGTATTGTGTCAGATCAAAGACAAAAAGACCATAATACCCTTACTAACATACGACTTGGGAAAACAAATATTTAATGTCTCATTCCCTTGATGAGACAACACTTAATGCATGAGAGCTTGGAAGTGAAAGGTAATAAATGTCTCAAAGCCTGAACATTTAATACATACCCGTCGAGGGAAGATTATTAAACATTCGTCAGATCGAGGAGAACGTATTAGTTGCTCGAGATCCCGAGCAATAAAAAATAAGAATATTACTCATAGAAATTAGTGTGCACACTGTTCACCTCCAATGATTACCTACTAGCTACGCTGTCAACAATGATGAATTTTTAATATATAAATAGTCCTCACAAACACAAAAAAGAGGTACGCACTAAACCCTCTCTCAACCATCATATATTATTTTTTTTTTCTCCTCTCTCAAAGAACTGACTTGAACGTCGGAAGGGATACGTCGAAAAATACTCCAACGCCCTTCTAAGCTATTTTTCTTTATTCTAGGAACCTCATTTAGCCTTCCAAGATCACTTAGGCGAATCATAAAACCAATTCATTATCCACCTTGGGCCACCTTCGACTCTCACAACCTGTTTTAAGTAACAAGATCGATCACCCGATTGACAGGCACGTGTTCATCACGAAAGAGATTTATTCTAGTGTTTATATTGTATAGGATCTTGCAGGCATAGGAGGATTATGGACAAGGGGGAAAAAGGATCAGGGTATTGAATAATAACCACACACACACACACAAAAAAAAAGGCGACAAAACAACCTCACTTCCTTTTTTTTCCAGTGGTCACAAGCCAAGGAACAGAATACAAAAGTTGGAACTACAGAGCAGGTGGATAGCACNGGCTTTCTTTCGGTAATTAGGTGAAAAATAAAAAAACTCTAATGTCAGTACTGTATTTCATCATATTACTTGATATGGGTTTTGTCCATCTTGGCTGGAAATACGAATGGTATCCATATTGGCTGGATATGCAAGAAACTTATACGTCACTCACTGGGAGTTTAACTGGGTTTTGCTTTTAGTCAGAATATAACTGAGTTTGATGGAGGAAATTTCTGTTGTGTTGCTAATTTTGTTGATGGCTTTCCTTCTGCGTGGTTTTATCTTTAGATATTAATTGACCCTTTTGGTGTAAAAAAAACCCCAATTTTGTTAAGTATTCTGTTTATTTGACGACTTTTATGGCAGGATTACAGGAATGATTCATCATTGTGTACGGGTGAAGAGATCAAGCTCACTGAGGGATGGGAATTAACCAGTTTTTTTGTAATATGAAGCAAGTTAACTTTTCATACCTCATGAACTTGGAAGAGAAACACTTGCCGGAAAAAGGGAAAATATATGCGAGAGAATCGGAAAATTCTATACAATTCAAAAAGAACTTAAAAATTATAACTTAAATGCATATTATTTTTTAGATGAGTGTTGGATGATAAATTTCATTGAAAAAATTAATAAAATTTACTCATTTAATATATAATATATATTTGAATTATAATTTTTTAAATTTTATTTAAGTTGTGTAGCATTACTTAAGAGAAAATACTGGGTGTAGTGATGTTATTACATGTATGCTCCCTTTTTTTTAACTTTGAAAAGAATGGAGGAATGGAGCTAATGGGACATTTTCAGACACTCTCATCTGGGATGACACGTGTTCTCGACGTCAATGCAGACCCTCGCTGTGATACTGACACGTCTTCGTCGGTTTCTAACTCCCCTGCCTTGAGGATGTTATTCACAGGGATCAAGAATCACCAACCCACCATAGACCGACACGTATTCTTCAACAATTAGGGTATATCGGTCTTAAATCATGCTAGTCTCTCGGCACCGATGTGTATCTATCCGCATGGGCATTTTCTGCTCTTGCAGGGGTTATTGATGGACAGATCACTAGCTTAGATATAGACTAAGCTAGCCATTATGACTTCGTTTTACTCAAATGGTGTCAAGAGGCACAAGAAAGCAGAAGACTCAACCAAAGAGAAATGGACACGTGACGTATTATGTCAGATCAAAGACAAAAATACCATAATACCCTTACTAACACACGACTTGGGAAAACAAGTATTTAATGTCTCATTCTCTTGATGAGACAACACTTAATGCATGAGAGCTTGGAAGTGAAAGGTAATAAATATCTCAAAACCTGAACATTTAATACATACCCGTCGAGGGAAGATTATTAAACATTCGACAGATCGAGGAGAACGTATTAGTTGCTCGAGATCCCGAGCAATAAAAAATAAGAATATTACTCATAGAAATTAGTGTACACACTGTTCACCTCCAATGATTACCTACTAGCTACGCTGTCAACAATGATGAATTTTTAATATATAAATAGTCCTCACAAACACAAAAAAGAGGTACGCACTAAACCCTCTCTCAACCATCATATATTATTTTTTTTTTCTCCTCTCTTAAAGAACTGACTTGAACGTCGAAAGGGATACGCCGAAAAATACTCCAACGCCCTTCTAAGCTGTTTTTCTTTATTCTAGGAACCTCATTTAGCCTTCCAAGATCACTTAGGCGAATCATAAAACCAATTCATTATCCACCTTGGGCCACCTTCGACTCTCACAACCTGTTTTAAGTAGCAAGATCGATCACCCGATTGACAGGCACGTGTTCATCACGAAAGAGATTTATTCTAGTGTTTATATTGTATAGGATCTTGCAGGCATAGGAGGATTATGGACAAGGGGGAAAAAGGATCAGGGTATTGAATAATAACCACACACACACACACAAAAAAAAGCGACAAAACAACCTCACTTCCAGTGGTCACAAGCCAAGGAACAGAATACAAAAGTTGGAACTACAGAGCAGGTGGATAGCATAAGTGTAGTTTCAAACTTGAAAAGAGGAGAAATACAGAGCAGTTGAGAGAGCTTAATGTAGTTTCAAACTTGTAAAATGATCATGCCTCTTTGATCTTCTTTACAATGGCGAATATAGCTCCAATCACTGCAACCACCACCCCTGAAATCAGAAGGGTCGATTTCAAGTTTTGTGCTCCATCCTCGTGCTCTTTTTTCTCTGCCTCGCCTTGTTCCTTCAATAAACGAAAAGCCCAACAGTAATAATCACAATATAGTGTAAAAGAAGTTGCCTTTAGAGTATCTCCAATCCTCGTTTAAATTCAAATTTGAGTCAAAAAATTTTACCAACTTTAAACTCAAGCTTAATACCAAATCAAGGAAAAATTTATTCTGAACCCAAATTAAAGGAGACTTCAATCCTATATCGATAATTTTTTTATCTTACCCAAACCCAAAAGACTGCTTTGACGGAACAAGTTACTGCCTCTTCTACCTCTCTCTTCAAAGCCGAAGCCGCTTGCCATAGTTGCTGACCACCCTACCTCTATTCTTCAACGGTGATTTTTTACTCTCTATATCTTTTTCTCTCTCGTAAGAATGAGAGGGGATAAAATATTTTTGTGGAAAAAATTAAAAAATATGAGCTTTGAGACCACAAAACAATTATTTAAAAAATTTGAATAAATATTTGAATTTGTCCATTCAAATGTTCTATATTAAACCACTTCAAATAGTTAACACAAAACTTTATCAATGTAAATTCGAGGAACTCTTCGAGTTGAGATTGAATTAGCCCTTAATAGCAAGGAAAAAAAGAAAAAGAGATTGAGTTAGCCCTAGTGTAGTGACGGACACAGGCTTTTACACTATGGGAGGGGAGCCAAACAACGCCATAGTCGATAATTTGATTCAATAGGATTAGTCTCTTAATATCTTTAATGACAAATTTTTAGACACATCTAAAACCTTCCAATCAATCAACTATGCCTGATATTTTCTTATCACTTGGTTACGACAACAACCAAAAAAAAAAGTTTTGTTTTTAAAATAAATAAATAATAACATCAATGCTAAAAGTCAATACTTTCATTTTGTCATAATCATAAATAAATCTGAATAAAAATAAAAAATTCTTTAGTAATTGTATGAGCAGAGAACTAGTTAAATCTGATCATTTTGGTTGATGGGTTGTGATCATAAAATTACCTTGCTTTGTTTGGAGGTAGAAAAATCTTTGCTAACTTCTGATTTTCTCTCTCCATCATCAGCATAACCCTTCTCCTCCTCCTCCGGGTATGTCCTCCTGGAGGAGGTGGCAGTATAAGCAGCAGCAGCATCTAGTTCTTCTGGGCTTGCCATTTCTCTTGCAGACAAGTTTTGTGATTTTGCTCAAGTCTTTCTTTGTATGTTGATCAGCTCAACTGTATTTCGAAAGTAATTGGGAAAGTAATTGTTGTAGAGAGATAATATCTTGAATAAAGCAATTGGGAATTTCAATGCTTCCCCAGTAAGCATCATAAGGGTGTTTCCAATTTAACACCTGGATTACATGTGTCCTCTAATTCACATGCCACGTCTCAAGTTAGACCCAAAAGTTTTGTTATTGTGAAATGTGAACCATCCACCGTTATCTCAACTGGATTGGGTTGGCATACTTGTGGATATTAATCGACATGGGTTGATCAGCAGCACCAAAATTATGCATTAAAAACTTACCACTTATTAATATGACAAGATTAACTGTCGTGCCATTTTTTTTCTCTATTTTTGTGTTAGGAAAGTGGGGTAGACGAAATTTTTTTGTCCCATTTGTCCTTGATTTAGAGAAGATGAAAAGATTTTGTTGACATGATAGTTAATCTTGTTATATTAACAACTGTCATGTCATTTAAACTCTTTGCTTGATCCTTAATTTTGATTAGCATAACATAACTATTAAATTAATAACAATGATTCATTAAGTCAATAAATTAAGGTGATATTTGATAAAATTGAAAGTTGAAAGTTAAAATCTAAAAATTGAAAGTTGAAAGCTGAATTTGTGGACTCAGCATCAACAATTCCTCTAACAAATAAGGTTACCTACTTCTTGAAAGCACAAATACGTATTGAAATTATATCATTGGACAATATTTTGTTTACTCATAATTGTCATGATTACCCAATACACCAATTTTTATTTTTTTTTCTGAACAATATGCGCATAAGAAAAATGGACGACAATGTTCAAACCCGTGACCTTAAGGTTCAACAATGGAGACAATGACAATTAGGCACCATTGTCCTCCAACACACCAACTTTACTGCAAGAGATTTCAGCTTGTTCAACAATTATTGTGCAAAATACACAAAACTTGCAATAAGAAAAATCTAATGGACTGTGGGAATGTGCCTTTGGGGATGTTATAACTAAGAGATAAGGTAATTCAACAAAAGAAATTAACAAACACAATGTATCAAAATAAAATGCTATCCCCCAATCCATACATGTGAGATAAATGCATTTAAAAGAACAAGAAATTCATAAATCAATCGAATATGCCTCGAGTTATAAGTAAAAATTGCAGATAAAAAATTGAAGAACCAACATACGAACCAATTTGATCTCAAAAGTGAAATATTACAAGGATATTCATAGCTCGGTTTCTTTATGTAACATGAACCCACATATGAATTCCAAAGGACTTAGAAATGTCTCTAGATTGTAACCATCTCAAAAAAATAGAACAGTTTAATCAATCAAAATTAAAAAAAAAACTTACTTCCCTTAAAACTTTTATCTTCTGCGATCATTAATGCTCTTAATCACAAAACCTCAATACTCTTCTTCGTCATCCAAAATCCATTCATGATAGTAAGTAAAATCATCTGTAGAATTAGAGTCCAACCCAAATACAACAACTTGACTAAACTGATGACATTTGGCTGCAACTATATACATGCAATTTTTGTCGAAATTTTTTCTAGCACCAATTTCTATTACAAATGTATCAAATTTACAAAAATAAATCACAACCAGAAAACAAATATAAGAAGAGCATCAGAGTGAACTTCTTTAATTATCTTATGATGTCTTCTCTGTAGTCTATATCCTCTATAATTATCATGTTCATTCTCGAATATTTGCCATATGAGAAATAATTGTTTGACCATGTAAACCTTGAAACTACACACAAAAACGATAACCTATTTACTTTAGCAATCATGAACATTGAGTTTTTTTTTCCTTCAAGGAAAATGTAAAAAAAAATTATCTTGTATTTGCTATGGTATTGTTAGGAGGCACTTGGAAGTGAAAGTATATATATTAGTGATTATAATTGATTTTATTATAATAATTAGGGTTAAAATAAGAAAACAAAAGTTTTTCATTTACTTCTATATAGATATAGAAAATTGTATGTAACTATACTACTAATAAATGAGTTCAAAAAAATTTAGAAATCTTTATAAAAGAATTCAAAACAAATAAAAAATTAAAAATGAGTAAAAAATAAAAATTTGATGAAAGTATATATATTAGTGGGTATAATTGATTTTATTATAATAATTATGGTTAAAATAGCAAATCAAAAGTTTTTCGAAAATACTGACATTTATAAGTAGTATATATTGTAAATATTTTAGGGTATAATTGTCGTATTATAAATATTATTAAATATGATTTTATAGAGCGCTTTTAACTTTTAGAATTTAAGTAAGAGATTTTTCACTTAATATTATAGCCTATTTTTAAAGAGCATTTAACATATTAAAATAGTTTAAATTTTAGTTATCAAACAGACTTAATTAATAAGTGCCGAATACATTCATTTTAAGTGCTGAATTTGAGTTACCAAACACACCCTAAGTCAACGTTTTAAATCCAAATAACATTACTCATTGTGTAATGGTTGTTATATATATATTGTGTCACATAATTTCAAATTAAAATTTAATATAAAAAATAGGGAAAATTTAATTTTGTAGAATAATAAATTAGTCATGCCTAGTGTTAACACAAATAACTTAGTTTGAATACAACAAACACATTTAACACGTAAAATAGAAAGATAGTTTTTTATGTTTTTTTTTTTTTTTTTTGTGTCTCTCAAACTTATATTTATGCATAATTTTTGGAACTTTGTCCATCCAATGGGCTGGACCATGGGTATACCCAACAAGCTGCTTCTGTGGGGGGTAGGTACTCAGGTCAGATTGTTGGGCCAATCCATGATCCATAAGATAATGGACTATCCTATAAAACTGTTCTTGTAGAAGACTTTGATCCTACAACTTCCTTTGGGTCAAAATACACAACCCAGTCCGAACCACTCAACAAAATCACATTAGGACAATTTAACAAGCGAGACTCCTATCGATGTAAGATTTGGGATTTGGGTAAAAACGATTTTTGACTTGATTTCGTGATACACACACGTCACAATAAAACACTCGTCACCGTGCCCTAAATTTTAGTCACCTAAATAATTTTTGGCACAATTGGAGGACATTTGATAATTTTCAAATTTTACTGAGAGTAGACCTCGTGTACCGACAAGTCTATTTAACAATGAGACTATGACACATGCAACGTGTACCACTGTTGATGGTGTTGGGCTACCCATTGGGAATCGTAATCTAGAGGATTGCATTGCATACACACACAGGTGGTACGAATGATTATGACCACAATATCAAACTTTCCAATATAAGTGGGAGATAGTTGGTTTCGTCCACAATGTTTGTCTTGATATTTAGCTTGGACGGTGGTCGGTTTTTGGGTCCCACCCACACTTCTTTTTCAATTATTTTTTTTTTTTTTTTTTTTACACATGATCAAATTAATATCGATTATTCTCACGAATTTAGATGTTATCCACCGTAACCCGAGCGATTTTAGGATATATTCCTCGAAGAATAAGAATAGATAGTCTTTAAAAAAATAAAAAAGTGTTAAATTTGAGACCTTTGAATTATCAGATGACAGATTCAATTACTGAATCACCCCTAAAAATAGTTTTAATTCTAATTGTTGCATCATGTTTGGTTTTCTTTTCTCTTTTGTTTGTTTGGTATGCCGATGCATTAAATATATTCGACTGTTTGTTGACATTGTTAGCTACAAATGAACTAGATCTGAGTTGAGTGTCCATGTTAAGTTTGTCTATAACCGCGAAGAATGTTCATAATCAATTGAGAATTGTCATGATGAACTGGTGCTCGAGCTTGTGTTGAACTTAAGTTGAGTTTAGACTCGTATTGATGATTAAATTTGACTCGTTTGTAGAGTATATATATACACAAAGAAAAATTTGTATAAAATATGTATAATTCATTGTAAATACTACATACAAAATAAATAATCTCTTTTATATTGATTATTGTATGAGTGGTGTCGAACAAACCATCATTTTTGTCTCATTTAATAAGTTTTGAATTAAACTCGAGCTTGTTCGTTTGATAATAAATGAAATTCAATCAACTTTTCTCTGAGTATGTTCAAAGATGTTAATGAACAGTGATGTTCATTTCTCGTTTTGAACTAATTCTTGCCATGGCAACTAAGAGGGCAATTCGGTCAATCTTTGTTAGAGGTAATACTTGATTACTCTGGCATCTTTTTTTGGGAATTCTATTTTGATTTCTTTTGCACTTTCTTCACCCTTTGGTGGGTATTTTCTCAATTGTTATAGACTCATTATTCATAAATTATAATAATTGATTTGTTATTGTAACAGTGATCTGATGGTTTATATCACAAAAAAATTATTTTATATCATTATTTACTTGATAAGAAGCAAAGAAAAAAAATGAATGAATTATGAAAAAATTGCATCATTAAACTATTATTTTCTCACATGAAATTTTATAGGAAAGAATAGTTTAATAAATCTAAAGATATGTTGCAGTTAATAGTTGGCCTAATAGTCATTGTTCCCGCCGTTAGACCTTAAGGTCACAGGTTCGAATTTTATCATCTCCGTTCTTGTAATAGTGTTTGACCCAAAAAAAAAAAAAAAACTTAGAGATGTGTTCCTTCTGACAAGGAATGATAAATAATTTAAATTATTTAAATTCGATTCAGATTTTATTCATTTTAAACGGTCTAAACTTAATCACTTTTTTAATTTCGGTATAAAAGACAAACTCGTCAGGCTCGAGCTCGAACAAGTTGGTTCCGCTCCTTTACCAGCCCTACTTCTGGCAGAGGAAGCATACAAGTTGATAGGGGTGTTGGGTGGTTGCCCCAGCCGCTTGGAAGCATTGTGGCCTCAGGTTCACTTTCTAGTCTTGTCAATGCACTGTCCAACACTTCTAGATGAAAGAGAAATCAATTATCTTTGGAGGATCTGTTGATTTATATATATTTTCTTGTC